CCGGAGGGGAGGCTGTGGGCGGTGGGATCGAACGGGAGGGATTTGGATGTTGAGGGGGGTGCTGAGTAGAGTGATGTTGTAGCTCGGATAGGCTTTGTGGATGAGCTCCGCCAAGAGCAGGAAGGGGGTGATGTGGTCTTGAGCCATGAAGGGGAAGAGAACACTTAACCTCGCTTGCTGTTATCCTATAATACAGAATGCTGGCCTTGAGCTTAATTTGTTCTCCGAAGGAGGAGTTTGGGTTGGGGGAGGCGAAGTTTGGAGAGGATAGAGAGAGTAGGGGAGTTGGACAGCTGTGATCGGGGGTTTTGGGAGAACTGCACGGGACTGCTAGTCCCGTGCGGTAGAGAAGGTCGATTTTGCTAAAAAGAAATTGAGCAGTCCTAGAGGAGGTCGATTTTGCTAAAAAAAAATTTGAACGGTCGATTTTACTTATTAAATTTAAAAAATGGTTGTTTTTAAAAAATTGTCCAAAGGATAAACATAGGAACAAAAAGAAAACACATACTGGCATGAAGTCGTTCAAGGTCCTTCCTGCCCCAACCATGGACAGAGGAAGATAAACCGGTGAAGGCAAATTCTAATTTGTGATTTTTGGGCAAACAAAGTATTGTAAGGGAGAGAACTGTAATTTATATTTAGATTTGTAAGGGAATTTGAATAAAAGAGAAAGTGCGGAAAGAGAGATGGAAGTATATTCTGTGGAGACCACGGAATGCCGTCCACCTTGAGGCAATCCGAGTTACACCTGGTATTGCATGATTATAGGTAATTTTCAGCTGAAGTACCTTTGTTTTTTTCATGAGATTTGTATCCTTTTAAAGCTGAGCTGCGTATAGTTCGGAAACTCTTCCCAGATATTCATTGTTATTGAATGGAGAATATAATAGAGAAACTTAATGCACTGGAACTAGACTGTTTGCATGTACGGTAATTATGGGGGACATATATGGTGAGTGGCACATGCCAAGTTATCGACTCATCTGGAAGCAATAGAAAGCCTTAAGGAATGAGCTAAATGAAGTTGATTTTTAAGAGGGGGAAAAAAGCTTGATGTTTGGTTAGTGAAGAAGAAATAAATTGAGGCATGAATATGTCAAATGAAACTTGACAGTGACTCAACATTGGCAACTGATTGAATTTGTATGTAGGGGGTGAAAAGTTTAGGACTTAGATAACGAGAAAGCTAAGAATTTCGTGGTTAGGTAATGCACATGATTTGTTTTGAACAGTTTGAATGAGAGGGTAGCAAGCAGTATATAGTAATAGGCACTATAGTTATAGGAGTTTTGCAGATTTAATATAATACTGGATGTTCTGATTTGTATAATTGACTTATGAAAGAAGGTTGTGACCGGAGATTTTGGGACTTGATGGTTTATCGTGCCAATAGTTTGGGATGAGCTCCAACTGGGTTGAAGTGGGAGATAATTAAGTTATTTAAGGTTTCTGGCTTCGAAGTAATGAGGTAAAAAATGCATGAAAGAGAAAAAACAAAGAATTTAATTTAAATACTTGATATCATCCTAACTTTTGAGTTTCATGCTTGGTTATTTTCTACAATTGTTTAATTCACCCCTATGTGACATATTTCACCCAAAAAGACATTTAATTACAAGGCCTTGGGAGTGGGCATCAGATATTTCCTGTCTGAGAACATTTCCATGATCGTATTGTGTCCAACAGTTGATGAAGGGTTGTTACTTGTGTCATTAAAATAATAATTGGGCAAACTTTCTTCTGAAAAAGATTGTTGTACTTTTTAAATTTTATCTAACAAATGTCATTTGCATGGATTAACTGATACTATATATCTCTTTTCTTCCAGTTTGCTATTTGGTGGAGCAGTAATTATAGAGAGAAGTGTGGAGACACTCTGGAGAGTGAATAATTCTGGGGTATTGAATTGACCTTTTCCTTGTTTTATTCTAATATCTTTTTTGCACATTTTTTACCCTTCTAAAAGACTCATCTTTTGACTTTATCAGATTATAATTGGGTACATTATTTCAGGCTAATTGTTGATCTTTACTATGTATAAGTTATAACTCCAATATTCTGAAGATTGTATCGCCAAGATCATGTTCCCGAATTATCCCTATCATGTTAAAGTTAAAAGTTGTTGCTAAGGAGTATTTTCCGTGACTTCCTGAAGACATCATAGGGAATTGGATCTGAAGTAAAAAAGATTTATTGAGAACGTGTCTTATAATAATTCAGTGGTATAAAATAATCAAAATGATAAAGCCCAATATCTTCATATATAACTGAAGGGAGATTGTACACGGAAGCTGTAAAACCAACGACATTTATGGATCAGAATGTGAGACATTTAAGAAATTAAAGAAATAACATGTGCAAAACATATGTACAGGGGAAATGAGAATGCTACAAGGCACGTGGATATGCATTGAAGGATACAATGAGAATGAGTGCATCTATAGTGATTAGTGAGACTCCTACCTAAAATGAGAGTTGATTGAAATGCTTTGTTCATATGCAGTGAAGGCCACTAAATTTACCAATTAGGAGAAGGCTAAACTGTAGTCGATGGAACAAGAAGGATTAGGAGTAGGCCTTAGAGAACTTGAATGATGATTGTTGTTAACTTAAGGGAGGACATACCTCTTAAAGAATGCAACTGAAATGAATGCGAGAATATGGTTCATGTTCATGGCCCAAAAAATGTGATTGTGTCCTGTAGCTTTTTTTTCCACGCACGTCACACATTGCAACTGCACTTGCTACAACTAGTGAGTTGCAAAGAAATAAATACTTGTAACTGGCATAAATAGCCCAGTTATCACTGTACTAGCGACAGGTACAGTAACATGCTACCAAACAGCCTCTTAATGGAGGAATAACCCTTAGCGGAACTTAAATGGAATAGTATTCAGGTCCCCTATGTTAATAACAATAGTTTGATCAGGTTTAGGTGTAATTTAGTGTTGCTTGGATCCATAACCGATTGGAGAACAAATTAATGGCAGACCAAATAGGTTAGTTACATCGCTTTTTATTCGTATTAGATAACAGTCTTTCAATGGAATCTAGAAGTTAAGAGATTATAAAACTAGGGATTTAAAGATGATCCCTTCATTCCTGTTGAAAGTAGTTTAAGAAACAATGAATGGTTTCCATGTATAGCTATTTGCGAGCTATTTGCATGCTTAGTGTCAAGCTATTTGTAATATTTTTAAGTACACTCAGTCTCCTTTTGCTTGTACTGCCTAAACTGTTAAGTCCCTTACTATTACAATGCAACTACTTATTTGTGAGGCCTGATCAGAGACAGTTCAGTTTGTGCTCCCTGCTGTTAGTAGCGTAGGAATATGTTATCTTATGTTGACATGCTCTTTTTTTTTGGGTGTGAATCTATCACATGTTGACTCCTAATTCATAGACAATATTGTGTAAGCGGAAATTGCCATTGTAGTCTTTTAATTTTTAGTCTGTTTACACTTAATAATAAAATGAGCTTTACTTAAAAGACCTGTGGAATGAATCTTCTTACTTTTATTTACTGACAGAAATCACCAAATGCATCTAAGAGATGGGCAAACTTCTACATTTTCTTTTTAATGCCAGGTTACAGAAATTTGCCTGCAAGGCTTCTTTGCAATGTTTTCATTTTTATGGCGGGTCTGAGTTATGTTGAGTACTACTTGCGGCTATTGATTTTACGCTTAAGAGCTGGTCTTTTTCTATACAGAAATCATTTGAAGAAACCCTGAAAACAGTTGAGAAAAGCAGAGCACAGAAAGAGAACTGAAGCTTTCTTGTTTCCCAAATTCATGTATGATGGTGAGGCTCCCAAACCACTTCATAATGATTCATGCATTAGTTTTCCTCTACTTATGTAGAGTTGCATCAGCAAGCTTTCTTTCCCAAGTTGTCTTCATGGTGTTCAATATCTCACATTGTTGTACCCTCAAAACATTAAAACTCAAAAATCTTAACTCTTAAGTCAACAGAAGTTGCATTCCGTCACACTTCAGTTTTTCTGTGTGCTGCTTGTAACAATACTTCCCAAAGTGGCTTGATTCTAGATCTCTCCTTCTTCGAAGGAATTTTATTTAGTCATAGAGTAATTTATAGAAGGAAGGCTAAGAAAAAAATTCTTCTTCTACAAAGGAGAAATCTATCCTTGTAGTAGGAGAGCAAATAAGATTTTCTTCTCCCGAAAAAATCTGAAGTCCTCCCTGCAGAAGCAATGATAACTAAGGTTTTCTTTTTCTACACAAGAAAATGCTTCTATAGGATACCCTTGAAAAGTATGTAGTTTAAATATACTATAATATACTAGTAATGAGCTATGTTCCATGACTACTTGCGTGCCAACATGGATGAAAATGCTACAAAATTAACAGCTCCCACTCACCTTTGGTTACCAGCTTATGACATCCAATTGAATTAAATTCATAGAGAAACTATAGTTGTTATCCTCTTTTCTGATGCTTAACCATCCTCACTGACTTCCTACTTTCCGCTGGCAGCATCATAGTTGTATTCTGATGCTGTGCAATTGTTTCTTATTGTTCTTTGTCACAGTATATATCTAAAATATTTTCTTCAACGACTACTTGCATGCCAACATGGATGAAAATGCTACAAACTTAAGAGCTCCCACTTACCTTTGGTTACCAGCTTATGACATCCAATTGAATTAAATTCATAGAGAAACTATAGTTGTTATCCTATTTTCTGATGCTTAGCCATCCTCACCAACTTCCTATTTTCCGCTGGCAGCATCATAGTTGAACTCTGATGCTGTGCAATTGTTTCTTATTGTTCTTTGCCACACTATATATCTAAAATATTTTCTTCAACTACTACTTGTTCTTAAGATTTTTTTGCTCTGTTGATTTGAGATCGTTCATAACGGTATTTTCATTATTGAAAGCTGGAAGTCTAGAGATCTTTTGTTGTTACCGTTGTGTGTTGTGCTCCTCACTTCTTTATGCTGTGCACTTAATGCATTTCCTTTAAACTGATCTCTCTAATAATGTATACTAAGAGATAATATGGACAAATTTTCAAAACCGACCCCTTTGGGTTTTTAATTGCAAAAAACGACCCATTTCAATCTTATTTATAAAAACCGACCCAGTTGGTTGAAACTGGGTCGGTTTTTGAATTTTTTTTTCCCAAACTTCATGGGAGTTCAACTCCCTTGAAGTTTTGTTATGAGAAAAACTTCACGGGAGTTCAACTCCCGTGAAGTTTCCCAAAAAAAATTACAAAAACCGACCTGTTTTCAGCCCCTGGCTGAAAACAGGTCGGTTTTTGTAAATATTTTCAAACCGGTCGTTTTTTGCAATTAAAAACCCAAAGAGGTCGGTTTTGAAAATTTGTCCGAGATAATATCTGTTGGCGTCTGCCTTCTCTTCTTTGGCTTGTACTTCCTTCTACACCATATAAAAGCTGCTTCTGTTAACTGCTAGCTTACAAAGCCAGTTTGCAAACTATCGTCGGTTACAATTGTCTGTTCTTGCAATAATTTCATGTCCTTCATTCTTTTGAGTTGTCAAATGCAACTTGTTCCTTAAAGATAATGGAGAACAAAATGCTACATTTGCACATAGATTCGTTTTCTGGCAACCTGTTCATCTGTCGCTGTCTTGTCTCCCTGATATGTCCCTTATGGATACGGGGCCTGTTTGGATAGAGGTTAATAGGGGATGAGGGAAGGTAGGGGAACCTATTCAAACTGTTTGGAAAGTTTTTAAGAGGGAAGGTGTCTTTGCTCATTTCCTTAGATTAACCTACACTCAATAGAAATTTATTCCCCACCAAATTGGGGTGGAACCTAGGGGAAGAGAATTCCTTTACCTTCCCTTCCCCTCTCTCCCCACTTTCCCCCAGTGAAATCCAAACATGCCATAGGAAAGGAGATAAGCTATCCGAAATAATTGTTTGCCTCGACTATACAGCCAAATGTATGTGATTAAGCGAGTTTCAGGATTCTTTATTCTGGAGTAAATTCTATTGTTAGCATAGATAAAAATTAAAATCTGATACGCTGGTTCCTCCCATAAAATTTGCAGCTAAACTGACGGTCCTTTTTTTGTTTTGGCAGCAATAATCTGAAGAAGCAATGAATCAATTGCGTAGGGGAAGATTAGGGGGACTATAACTAATGGTGTTGTTACAGAGTTTAAATGGACGGGTAATTTCTCGAATAGTCTTAAGATGACTGTTCATTCTTTATTTTCAAATACAACTGGTTGTCTGAAATAAAACTATGTGAGCACACATGTATATTATACTGAAAATTGTATGTAAATATCAATATGTCGAACTCCATGAAGACCTGGATTTGTAAAAGGAGCTTGGGCATCATGACATTTTCAATGCTAGAAAATGTGATGCCTTTTAAAACCCAAATGAAAACTGCAACTTGCCCTTCATACCAGAAACATGTTCCATATGTTTATATTATCTTGTACAACTTTATCTTCATAACTTATCATTATGATAGTCATAAAGGGACGAGAAAGATGGAGGTGGCTATGTACCTAATCCAAAAGGAATAGGACAAGAGTGAAGAGTGTTATGAATGAGTGATGATTACAGCCTTTCTGAGTTTTCTGTCTCAATACGAGCAAAAAATAAGGGCCCTCTCCATTGTGCATGTTCATTTGTATTTCGTACTTGCGGAGAATATTGCACCTTTTGCGATTTGAACCTAAAAAGGTGGGATGAGCAAATAAAACAGCTTTACCACTTTGCAGCATCTTTCCCATTTGCTTATTTAAACATTTTCCAAATTTAAATCCAGTGAAATTTGTACGTGTGGATATTTTCTTTTGTTCGTATACGAGGTTCTGAATTCGTCATGTTTGCTTCTCTCGAAGAAGAAAAGTTTGCGGGGGCAAGGCAAGTAGAACTGTGGATAATATATCAAAGTCGCTACTTAATGAGGAAAAAAAATAATAATACGAAGAACAATTTTCTGTTGATTTCATATCAATGCTTCTTCCGTACTCTGTACTTCACAAAAAAATTTTGGGAAAAATGCTTCCGGCCCCCAAATTCGTAATAAGTATGATTCCCCCTCCCAAGACTTTTTCAACGCTCTCAAAACCCCCAAATTTATAATAACTATGCACTGAGCCCCAAAACACAAAGCCCAAGAATTTTACACAGGTAAAGACTATAATGCTCATTCTTTTTCTCACCATGCAATCCCTCTGCTCTCCTTCCCCCACCATTTTTGCCCTAGCCCCTGTTGGATTTAATCTAATAAATCTATTTGTGGGCACATATGATTAATCAATATGTATTGCTATCTTTCAGGATAACCCACTAAAGTGATCAATTAAGTTGGGTTAATTTGGTATTTAAATAAGTCATGGGGTTATATGTGCAGATACCAGGTTGTAATTGTGATTTATTGAGGGGCTAAATTACAAAAGTACAACATCTATAAATAAGGGGTTATGGTCCCTAACCTAGGGTTACATTCTCTAATTCTCTACACCCCCATCTAGCTAGAGAAATTCGGATTTAGAGAAACCCTAAGGTTAGAAGATCCAAAACTCATCTCAAGGTTCATCCATGGATTCAGGTATAAGCTTCCGCTCTTTTGATTATTGTTAATCTCTTTGAATTAATCATGGCTATATGGTTTTAGATCTCAAGTTTTATGATTCAGATCTATCAAGTGGTATCAGAGCCACCTTGATTAATTCTTAGGGATTTAAGTTTTATTGGGTTTTTTGATCTTAAATCTCTGATTAAAGATTCAATTTTTGGGTTCGGATGAACAGTAACGAAAATTTTCGGATAAACAGTAAAGTTTTTTATTCGGGTGAACAGTAAAGTTTTTTCGGATGAACAGTAACTGAAAAATCGCCGGTGAACAGTAACTTTTTGGAATTTTTTGGTTTTTTCTTCAATTTTTTCCAATTCTGGATCTGTTTTGAAAATAAAAAAAAATCAAAGTTTTTTGGGTTTGGCGGCGGCGGTTTCAGTTTGAAACCCTAAGGGTTCATGGCGAAAATTAAGGAGGTGGTTACCTCAAACGAACCTCGCGTTCGTTCAATTTTAACCGAGCTTCGCGCTCAACGAACCTCGCGTTCGTTCTAAGGTGAACCTCGCGTTCAACTCAGGTGAGCGTCAAGCTCAATTTTAACGAACCTCGCGTTCGTTCTAAGGTGAACCTCGCGTTCAACTCAGGTGAGCGTCAAGCTCAATTTTAACGAACCTCGCGTTCGTTCTAAGGTGAACCTCGCGTTCAACTCAGGTGAGCGTCAAGCTCAATTTTAACGAACCTCGCGTTCGTTCTAAGGTGAACCTCGCGTTCAACTCAGGTGAGCGTCAAGCTCAATTTTAACGAACCTCGCGTTCGTTCTAAGGTGAACCTCGCGTTCAACTCAGGTGAGCGTCAAGCCAGTCGAACCTCGCGTTCGTGCTTCAGTCGAACCTCGCGTTCGTGCTTCAGTCGAACCTCGCGTTCATATTTTTTTTAACGAACCTCGCGTTCGTTCACGAACCTCGCGTTCATATTTTTTAACGGACCTCGCGTTCGTTCTCAAACGAACCTCGCGTTCGTGCTTAAGTGAGTCTCGTACTCAATACAGTCGAACCTCGCGTTCGAAGTTAAGGGAACTTCGTGTTCATTATGGTTAAGCCTCGGCTTTTCATGGGTCCACTTTGGCATACTTAATTTATTCAATTAAGTTATGGGCCCTAATTAAGCTGTGAGACCCCAATTAAGTTTTTGGAAATT